ATTAGTTAAACTTACAATGAACAGTGCTTCTACCAGTGTTTTTATTGTTAACTCAAACTATAAATTGTTTTTGGTAATTGAAATAAAGCTATATATTACACTTTTCTTTCTTACACGTGCGCGTTTGGTGCTCTGTGACGTTTTAACCCTTACCCCACGTTCAGTGGCGGGTTACGACTGATGTTTTCTGCACTTGGACTTTAAATTGATAAACACGTTAACATCGACTACACTGATCTTTGGCCTTTGACTCACGAGGGCCGCATACTTTAATTTCTTTTGGTTGTAGGAGTCTATTTTTCTATATTTAATAGTGGTTTGTCTTCAGTTGCTCTGCATCATTCCACGTCAGGATCCTAGTAAGATGGATTTCACTTCCCGCTCATTATTTTCTGATACAGTGGTCGAGTAACTGAGACGTGATCGAAGCGCAAACCAAATGCAGCATGTAGATGCTTCCTCAAAGTATTTAAACTAAGAAAAAGAAGCACTTAGAAATATCAATAAAATGTGTGTTCATATTTTTATAAATGTCACTGGATTACATGTATCTGTATAGAGGTTTCATTCAAATATAAATGCATGTTTGTTTGACTTGCTGTTTATTTGCTCTCTGGATTATTTTGTCCTTTCATCTCGTATCATTCACTCCCTTTTGCTTTCTAAGGATTGTGTTTAAGCATCAGTTCTTTTACTGTCACTCAGCACCTGATGAATGTACAATATTTCCATAGCATCTCTGTTCAGATTCTATTCATGAACTTTAATAAAACTATGTACACTACTTTAATTTGTGCAGTAATGAATCTAAAACGTGCATTAATCTGAGTGCCATACAAGCCTTGAAAATTTAATGAACAATTGCAATTTTTCAATGTGTTTACACGTTGTCACTGTTCAACTATAACATAAATTTTTTCTGCTGCTTGATAGAGAAAGCAGTGCAATAAAAAAAAAAAGATTAAAAGGAGCACAATGCATATCTATTGACCAGAATATGATATATTTCATGTGAGTTACTGCATTAACTTATTTCCAGGGTTTTTATTTATCAGCAACATTTAAAAGCAGCTTTGAGAAGTTTTACTGAAATTTAAAGATAATATAATCTAACTAATTTCATGTAAGTCTTCCTAGAGTCTCTAATTTTTAAAGTTGGTTTACTTGCGGCTTTTGTAGGAATGAGATGAATACAGTTCAGAAACACTGACAGTAAATGGATCCGGATAGAATGACAGCAGCTGATTGGCTGGAAACACATTATAAACCGGAAATGTCTAAAGCTTTATTTCCTCTAACAGCAATCGGTTGTTATGTACAGAACCGGATTGGGCCACTACAAATGTAGGATGTTCACTTCCTAGTGTTCTCTTGATTCAGTGCACATAGCAGACTATAACTGAATTCAGTTCAGACTGCTTGTTCTTTTGATGAGGTCAGATGAATATTCACATTCATGCAGTGGCGAATAAAACCCTCAATTCCTGGACCGCACACCTGCTCCTGTGAAGTGCAGCGCATTCATCTGAGACAAAGAGCTAGAGACCTGAGAAAATGAGGATAAAGTGCCTCATTTCCATGCATTTCATTGAGTGAGTGAATAATCACAGGCTGATGGATCAAACACGCCTGAGCAGAGTGAGAGAGTGTGTGTGTGTGTGTGTGTGTGTGAGAGAGAGAGAGAGAGAGAGAGAGAGAGAGAGAGAGAGAGAGAGAGAGAGAGAGAGAGAGAGAGAGAGAGAGAGAGAGAGAGAGAGAGAGAGAGAGAGAGAGAGAGAGAGAGAGAGAGAGAGAGAGAGAGAGAGAGAGAGAGAGAGAGAGAGAGAGAGAGAGAGAGAGAGAGAGAGAGAGAGAGAGAGAGAGAGAGAGAGAGAGAGAGAGAGAGAGAGAGAGAGAGAGAGAGAGAGAGAGAGAGAGAGAGAGAGAGAGAGAGAGAGAGAGAGAGAGAGAGAGAGAGAGAGAGAGAGAGAGAGAGAGAGAGAGAGAGAGAGAGAGAGAGAGAGAGAGAGAGAGAGAGAGAGAGAGAGAGAGAGAGAGAGAGAGAGAGAGAGAGAGAGAGAGAGAGAGAGAGAGAGAGAGAGAGAGAGAGAGAGAGAGAGAGAGAGAGAGAGAGAGAGAGAGAGAGAGAGAGAGAGAGAGAGAGAGAGAGAGAGAGAGAGAGAGAGAGAGAGAGAGAGAGAGAGAGAGAGAGAGAGAGAGAGAGAGAGAGAGAGAGAGAGAGAGAGAGAGAGAGAGAGAGAGAGAGAGAGAGAGAGAGAGAGAGAGAGAGAGAGAGAGAGAGAGAGAGAGAGAGAGAGAGAGAGAGAGAGAGAGTTTGTGTTTGTGTGTGTGTGAGAGAGAGTGTGTGTGTGTGTGTGTGTTTCTGAAGGAGAGAGTTACAGGTGTCTCATTCTGTTTGATCTGATATAATGCTGTTCTAGTTCATTAAGTTCAGCTGGTTGTGGATTGATTTATAGAACAGTTTTCTTTAAAAATACATAAATATTCTATATATGTAGTTTAAAATATATTGGTTTCTAAACTGAATGTATATATATATATATATATATATTGACTGTAATGTGACTACAGATTTTCTGTTGGTGAATAAAAAGTAAATTCAAATTGCAAATCGGAAGCTTTTAGATGAGTGGTGTCAGACATTTATAAGCCAGTGTAAATCCTGTAGTTGAGAAATGAAGGTGATTCAGCAGTGAGTAAGTTTTCCTGACATCATGATCCTTTGTCAACATGTTTCTGAGAAACCTCATTAACTGAGAGATCAATACACACAGTCACAGTGAGTTGGCACTTTAGTTAAACTTGTTATAAACCTTACTATATTAAGATTTGAGATCATGATTTAACAATAGATTGGAAAAAGAAAAGAGAAACTTAAAATATAGGATACTTTAGGATAAAAAAAGACTTTTAGCAAGCTGTTTGTAACTATAAGAGTGATTTAAATGGTTAACAATTTCACATATTTATCTATGCATTAACTATGCGTTTAAATTTTAATTTGTAGGTTAAAATTCCTATCTTCCCATTAGTAATAAGGTTATTTTAATTATATACACACTACCGCTCAAAAGTTAGGGATCAGTAAGACTTGTAATGTGTTTTAAAGACGTCTCTTCTGCTCATCAAGGCTGCATTTATTTGATCAAAAATACAGAAAAAAACAGTAATCTTGCAAAATGTTATTACAATGTAAAGTAATGGTTTCTATTTTAATATCCTTTAAAATATAATTTATTTCTGTGATGCAAAGCTGTATTTTCAGCATCATTACTCCAGTATAAAGTGTCACATTATCCTTCAGAAATC